TGTTTTTTTTGAGACAGGGTTTCTCTGTGTAGCTTTGAAGCCTATCCTAGCACTCACTCTGGAGACCAGGCTGGCCTGGAACTCACAGAGCTCTGCCTGCCTCTGCCTCCCGAGTGCTGGGATAAAAGGCGTGTGCCACCAACGCCCAGTGAAAAGAACTTTTTTACTTGAATCCATTCTTAGCCAACAGTGTTGACGGAAGTTTCTATCCTGCTGAGTCCCACAGCCATTTAGTCCCAAATAAACACACAGAGGTTTATATTAATTACAAACTGTTTGGCCTATTGCTCAAGCTTCTTATTGGCTAGCTGTCTCTTAATTATTAACCCATTTCTATTAATCTGTGTATCTCCACATGGTCTTGGCTTACCAGAGAATGCCCAGGCGTCCTACCTTCCCAGCAGCTACATGACATCTCTGTGACTTCACCTACTATGTTTCTCTGTCCCTGTTTGGATTTCCCACCTGGCTAAATCCTGCCTGTCCATTGGCCAAAATAGCTTTATTCATCAACCAATAAGAGGCATATATATTCACAGCATATAGAAGGACATTCCCCATCACAACAATCTCATTTAACCCTGACATTCTTTCTGAAGATTTAATTTCCCTCTCTCTTGAGAGCCTTGTCTACCCTCCAACTCTGACTTTCTGGGGTGATCTGCTCCCAAGAAGGAAGCATTGCTGATGTCATCCAAGCCCTCTCCCCCCATAAATGGCTTTGGCCTAACATTTACAGATTACATAAACACCACAAGTATTTCTACTACATAGTCTCCTTCCCCTGGCAGCCCAAGTTGTCATTGGCATTTCATAGGAGTGTGTGTAAACAACATTGTAATTCCTTAGCCATGAACAAAAAAAAAAAAAAAAAAAAAAGCCTACACATTTGCAGAAGAGGTTTTTAGGAGTTTTCAGAAAACACATTTGACAGTAACTCTCCTAAATGTTGAAAATCTTCATTCAGTCTCATGATGTAAATATTTATGTCTTGCTATGGAAGCATGAAATTGTTTGATTGTAAGATATGCTCCAGTCCCCTTGACATTGACCATGGCCAGTCATTATACTTTGCTAAAGTTCAGCAAAGACAGAATTCTCAAAATGACAGGCTTAAGCCTTTGCATAAGGCCCCTTGTTTTTATAGGAGCATGTTTGGAAATGAAGCTGGCCAGCAGTTGAAAAGACAGTATTGACACTATTAGCTGACGATATTGGAATCTGAACATGGAAAGAATTCACTTTTCCTTTAGAATATATCTCATGAGTCAGATAGAGTTCATTTGTATAGAAAATATTCAATACTCTACAAATATAAAGAGTGGCAATATCATGTTGACCTTTTCTTTAAAAAAAATGGTGACTAAGGCAAACAACAGACAGACTAATTTATTCCATATCCACAGCTGAGTACTAAAGCTGGGGTCAGAATGGAAGTCGGAGATCTGACATCCCTGTAAAATCTCAGTAAAACAAAAGCTCTATAAATCCTGGGAAAAGAATTGAGACTTTTAAAGTGACTCTGCACCATTAAAATAGACCAATGGTCTTTCCCGGCAGTGACCTCCAGGCACAGTTTCTGCCAGAAGGTTTCAAGGCATTTGAAATGAGTGAGATCTGTAATAAAGAACTAATGTGAACTGCTGCCGGGTTTGAATGACACAGTGCATGGTTAGTGTTACCTTGCCTTGCAGCTGCCAGTTAATTGTAAGCACCGTGCTTGAGGAAACAACACTAGCTTGTCTCGGGAGGTTAAGGTTTCTAGGATATACACACAGATCCATCATTGCATTTCTCAGATTACTGTGAGCAGGAAGAAAATTATCCCAGTAACTTGGGAATTTCACAAAAAAGAACTGTGTTTACATATTCAATTTCAGAAGGATAATTTCTCTTTTTAAACTACAAGTTACAATGATTAAAAAAAAAGAAGGCCCTGTGACTTCCAGTGGGATAGTTTATATGTATATGTCAAAGAACTATTTTTTTCTCCCTAGTGTTCTTAGTCAGTGAATATATGCACAGGCATGTGTTGCTTGTTATTTTCAGTTTGTATGCATATTTTCTGTGCGTTACGAATCTTCCCAATTGCTGTGATTTCCATCTGGTTTGAGATGGGGGCCCATCTCAGGAAGGGAAGTAACCCAAGAAGGAAAGAAAGGATGGGAAGCCTGGTACCAAGTGTTGGTTATCTTTTAGCTGCCCCTGCTCTTTCTATTCTCTCCTGCCTGCTAATTAAAGTAGCACGGAGATTAGCATTATTGACCCCCATCCAGCTTGGCAGAAAAGTTTCCTTGCTTTTTATAATAGTTCCTGCTTGGTACTAGTAGCACCCGGTCTTTCTTGGGTAGACTCAGTGGAAGGTAACTGTTGCCCACAATGCGTGTGGCTGCTGGGGGCAGGCTCTACCTCTCTTGTTCGTGGATTTGAACATTTGTGTTGGGAAGTGCTGTTCCATCTCCCACAACACACCCCCAGAAGTGGTAATCATACCCAGAGAAATCCTGTTGCAGTGGGAAACAGACATATTTGTCATAAGTAATCAACTTTCTCAACAATTGCTCTACAATATTTTTATCCAGAAACAAGTTCTTGGCATCACGGGGGTGGTGGGGTGCTGGTGTGGAGAAGATATTCTAGAAACTTGCCTCTGTTATGACTGAAGCAATAGATGAGAGATGTCTGTGTATTCATTCACATATCTCTATATTAATTTTTTTCTTTACGAAACTAAATTGGGTATTAAGAGATTGAGTATTTGAACATAATTAATTTATTGACATTTCCAAGTTATTGGATTAATTTTCTTTCTGATCACAGGTTATCCAAGAAATGCAATGGTGGGACTCTGTGCCAGACAATGCCAATATCTTTCCAATGAGTGCGATGGATTTGAATCTCTGGCAACATTGTTCTAAGATTATTGACATTTCCTTGGCTGTATATCTCACATTTGGGTTTGACTAAGCATATTTATCTTTCTGGAAACTTTGATGTCTTCTTGGCTGCCTTCAGTCAAGTCAGCAAATTAGATATCTATGACTCTTATTAGTAAGACATTTTAGTTCCATTAGAAAACATGGAAAGCGATCTATTTCTCTTGACGGCTTATCTCCATAAAAAGTCACTCTAATGCTTAAGGTTTTCTCTCGGGACCCCACTGAGGAAATCCCCAGAGATCCTCCTCCTTTTCTAACGTGTTTTTAAGAGTGTTATTAATAAGTGAATAGTATTTCCCACACAGACACAATATATAAGATGCCATGGCAATAAATCAGGGGGCTGGAAGGATAGCTCAGCAGTTAAGAAAACTTGCTGCCCTTTCAGAAGGCCGGAGTTTGGTTCTCTGCACAATGCTGTGCAGCCCACAACCTTTTGTAACTGCAGCTTCAAAGGACCCAAGGCTCTTCCGTGGCTACTCTGCACATGCTTGTGTGCATACATTTACATAGTCACACACATACACATAAATACAAAGAAGTATAAAATAATAGTAAATCACAGAAGAATCGTGTGACAACGGGTGACATGGCTGTGTATATAGCCAGGTTGGTGTGTGAATTTTCTGTGATACTCAAATGTTTCTCTTTGCATTCTCCGATCTCTTTCAGCTGTTTGAGCCCACAGAATGTGGAAATGGATATGTAGAGGCCGGGGAGGAATGTGATTGTGGTTTCCATGTGGTAGGTATAAGAGACAGTCTCCACTCTTAGTGCACTTCATCCTGCAAGTTAACAAGAATGACAGTAGTGAGCAGCCATGCTATCATTCATCATGGGGTCACTACCTTATTCCTTTCTTTGTTTCCTGATTGCTATGATCAATGCTTCGTTATCCCAGCTCAGACACATAAGAATTAGTCATGTTGTCATTATAGCCTTGTCTGAAAAGCCTAATGGATGGTTCTAATCAAATTCCCGACCTTTAAAAAGTTAATTCAGGGCTCATATTCATCCCAGGCACCTTCTACAGTATCATGAACATTTTCTCATGCTCTGTGTTATTTTTTCCTTTATAAAACTAAACGGGGTATTAAGAACATGGTAGAGTTACAGAGGTGTATGTGTATGTGTGTGTGGGAGGGTGCCTGCTAATGAATAATCATACTTGTGGGAGATCAGTCTGCTGAGAAATGTGGCTGGGGTCTGTCATCATTTAAAGTGATTGATTCCTTCCTAATTTGTTAGTGTACTGTTTATGGAAGTCTTGTTATCTGATGCATAAGCTACCCATGGAGGGAATGCTTAATGGACAGTGTCATATCTCTGGTTTACTCACCGTGTTTTTTTCTCTAGGAATGCTATGGAGTTTGCTGTAAGAAATGCTCTCTCTCCAATGGGGCCCACTGCAGTGATGGCCCCTGCTGCAACAACACTTCGTGTCTTGTGAGTCCCCTGAAAGTTTCATCTTTCTTCGCCTTCATTGACAAACTAGCCAAACATCTCAATATGTCTGTTGCGCTTTTGAATGACTTGATACAAATTTATGCATGTTAACTCAGTGATATTGTAGATGAGTAATTCTAGCCAACTTCCGTGGGTAATAGCTGGCTTCTTTTCTGTTGTTCCCTCTCCACCGTCCTACCTTCCCATGCTTCCTCTAGAGTATATACCTGTACATCTTCCAAACTAAACAAGTTGCCCTGTTAACACAGATGAGCAGATTAAATCGTCAGATAGAGAGGAACAATGCAGTTGGCTTTCGTTAAATAATATGACCTACTTGCAACATTTGTTTTTCAGAACTTATTCTAATTTGTTTTAGACTCACAGTTTAAACACTAGTGCTTATATCTCCCATTTGGCTTTTTGAATCTTTTGTAAAGTCAAGAAATCCAGATGAGGAAGTACTTACATATGTTCACAAGTGTGTGTGTGTGTGTGTGTGTGTGTGTGTGTGTGTGTGTGTGTGTAGTCTTCCATCTATAGTGACTGCTAGTTACTTTTGAAAAGTCCTTTTAATATCTTTTTTTTTCATGTCAGATCCATGACATTTCGAATAACTATAAAAATTATGTGATTTTTACTACTCTTTTCAACACCAAGGGAGGTTCTACATCATGATATTCTAGAAGATTTCAGCTCAGTTTGTGATTGCTTCACATTGCCTTCCAAATGATAAATTGCTTGAGGCTAATTGAGACTTCATATTTACCTGTCCTTTGCCAGACAAACAAAATGTTTTGTTTATCATAGGCAGTCACGGACACCACTGAAGGTGATTTATATGACTCCATTGTAATTTTGTTGTGTGTATTTATCTAAAGCAAGATTAATACTCAAGCTAATGAACAGACTAGTGATGGTTTGGTATATGTAACAGTCCTTCAGAGAAATCTTAAATGTGTAATGACAGTGTTTTGTTCCTTTGTGTTAAGCTAAACTAATGTCTCTTTACATAATTTTCATCATATTGTCTTCTCACCTTAATACATGGAGACAGTGGGGTTTTCAGTCTCCACGAGGTGCCTGTTGATAACTCCTCTTCCCTGTAGGGTGAGCATCGGAGCCCCATTTCTAACCAGCAGTGATTTTACCAAATTGTGAGGTAGGTGGGTGGTGATTAGGAGAAAGCACAGGACTGTTGGTGAATGTAAGAATGGCAGCTTAAAAAAAAGAAAAAAAAAAACCAGTTAACACCTTCTAATGTTGGGTTTTGATCTGTAGTTTCAGTCCCGGGGGTATGAATGTCGGGATGCCGTAAACAGCTGTGATATCACTGAATATTGCACTGGAGACTCTGGTCAGGTATGGAAAAACAGCATTTTAGCTCCTATATTGTGCAATACATGTTTTAATTCCTTCCATAAAGACCACATGTGTGGACCTGTTTGGGTTTCTTTATTTAGCTGTGTTTTCTAGATATTTCCAGCTCTCTACCACACTATTACTTCAGGAAGTTTGGTACAGTGTTTTGGGACTTTCATCTTTCCTTTTTTTCCCTTAAATTCCCCCCTCATAAATATTGTTATGAGTTGAGATCTATGCTCACCTCATAAGCCTTTTCCCTCAAGCCCCCACATCTTAGATATTGTTTTAAAACATTTTGAATACATTGGTTTTTTTGTTTTTGTTTTTTTCTTTTTTAAGAACAAATTTGGGAAGGGAGCTGATGTAGGCGATCAGCAGCAAGCAGAGCTTCTAATTCCCTGTCACCGCCACTGTCCCCATGCATTGCTAGTCCTGCCTCTCAGCCTCTGTGCTTTGGCATGACTTTGGTCCATTAAAATGATTATAACACTGTAATTAATATTCACTTCTTGAATCGCTCTTTGTATAATTTTTGTGCTTTTTATTTACAGCATGTTCTTTTATATCCTTATTTGCCATTCAAATTAACATCTGTGACTTACTTGCCAAGTATGCCAGGATATGGAAGGGAACATGGTTGTCTGGTCCTTGCTCTAGTGAAGCTTAGGTTCTGTTGTGTGTAGAGAGGCAAATAAGATACACACACACACACACACACACACACACACACACACCATACATATGTATGCTGTGTAAAGAAGAACATGATGGGACATTAAGTTGGGACAATCAGATGGATCTTCCTTGGGGGGAGATGGTATTGAAATAGCTGTGGAAGGAGTTACTTTACAAACAGCAACTGCAGAGGTATGGCTTCTTCAGGAAATGGAATAAAAGCAGGCAGAGCTGGAGGATCGTATTAAATGTTTCAAAAGAATGTCAGGGTTTTGGCTGGTGGGACTGGTGCCACAGAAGGAACTGGGGATTTCGTTTGTCCTTCACTTTCTTTCTGATGTGTCTTCAGAAGGTTATCCTCTGCTAGTGTGTTGTTTTATGATTGCATGATGCAAATTTATCAGTCAGTTTTTAACCTAGAGGCTACCCATTAGATTTTGCTAGTTTTTTTCTCATTGTTTTGTCAGTATGGAAATAGAGATCTTTGTGCATTTGTAGGGCTATCTCTCATGTAGGGTTATCTCTCTAGGTTAAGTTCCCAGGACTGGAGTTACCAGCTGCAAGGTACAATGGCTTCCACTGGGATCACAATGAATATAGTTTGAAGTCAAAAGATCACACCATAAAAATGGACCAACTTGAGTTATAGCCATAACTTAATACAAGGGCCACATGTGTCTTTTAATAGAAGAAATGGTAGCAACAGGTTACTGACACAGTTGGTTTCACTATGACTTCCCTGCAGAGGCAGGCCCTTCCGTAGTGGATAGCCTGGCAAAGCAGTGGAGTGTGCTTGCTCCCCATCCACGTTGCACTTTCTGGTTCAGAGTGTCTAATCATTCTTCACCAGCTTCTCAGTCAACCAGTCCAGTAGTGGGAAAGCACAGTGGTTGACCCTGGACTGAGTTCTATTTGCTCAAAGGGAATATGAGAAGAGAGAAAGAAAATATGCTAATTAGTCTCTAGACAGCGCTTCCCCCATGGCTCTGTTAATGATACAGCACATGGAAATCTGTCCTGTTTATTTGTATGTGTGTCCTTTTTGCACATCTGTCCCTCATATTTAAATATGTAAGCAGATTCCTTTGCAATATTTCTCTATAGTGTAATGACAGAGCCCAAGAATTGTGGATTCTGTCTTTCACAAGTCTAGCAACCCTGGCATACAATTTGACTGAGCTGTTAGTTTTATGGAATATAATTATTTTTCATAACTTCAATATATGCCCTTGGCTCTCATGTTCAGTCTTTTTAGAAGTATAGGTTTCCATTTCACTCTTTAATTCCTGAATTGCTATGGAGTTCACTGGAATTCAGGCTTTTAAAATGAGGCTGTTGGGCTGGGGAGTGGTTTAGTGGATTAAGTGCATCCTGTGGAAACCTAAGGGCCTGAGGGCCTGAGGATCCCCAGCATCCCCATGAAAGCCAGATGCAGTGGCACACGCCTGCAACCTCAGCGAAGGAGGCAGAGGAAGGAGAATCCCTGAGCAGCTTAGTTTAGTTAATTGATGAGTTCCAGGTCCAGTGAGAGTCCCTGTCTCAAAAAGCATAGGTGTGGAGAGTGATAAGAGGGTACCCAGTGTCAACCTCTGATCTCCACAGATACACATGGAGCTGGGTGTGAACACACACACACACACACACACACACACACACACACCACACTCACACTTACACACCACAATACACACACCTCCCACACCTACACACACACACACACACACACACCACACTCACACTTACACACCACAATACACACACCTCCCACACCTACACACACACACACACACCACAACACACACACCTCCACACCTACACACACACACACACACACACACATCTACACAGAACACACAAACACACACCCCACACATATATACATACATACCATACACTCACGCTTACACACCACACACACATGTACAACACACACCTCCCACACCTACACACACACACACACACCTACACAGAACACACAAACACACACCTCTCACATCTGCACACACACACACACCACACATATATACACACATACCACACACACACTCCCACACTTACACATCACATACACACACACACACACACACACACACACACCTCCCACCCCCCCACACACACACCTACACAGAACTCACAAACACACACCTCTCACGTCTGTACACACACACCCCAAAAACACATGTGCTCATACATGGCACACTTACAAAAGTAAAATGAAATAGGGCCTCTTTGCTCAACCTATTTTACTGTCTAAGAAATGCAATTGTTTTTCTTTTTACCTCATATACCTTTGATGAAAATTGTACTGTTAAATTAATCTTTCAGTGGCACATTAGATAGAATGCTATTTTATTAGTAATTTTAAAATCTGATCATCAGAATAAACCAAATGAGGTAGCTGAAGTAGAAGGACATAAAACCCATAATATTTTTTCTATTTTGTAAGAGACAATGAATTTTGAATTTGTTGATATTCAGAGTTTTTATGAAAATAGAATCTCTGTGTCCAGTGTGTCTACATGGCTGTATTATGCCCTTATCTTTTTTACTTCATGTTTTTAGTTAATTTTTATATTAGTATTTACTGGTATCTCTGAGCTCTTTTTTTCTTTATTTCAAAACATACCAAAATAAAATATAATAAGATAAAACAAAAACCATCATATCAAAGTTGGACAAGCCAAGGCAATAGAAAAATAAAAATACCTCCAAGAGAAGGCACAAGTATCAGAGACCTACTCCTTCACACATTTAGGAGCCCTGTAACCGTGCTAAAGTGAAAGCTATAGCCTGTACACAGCAGACCTCGTGCACACCCATGCTGGCCCTGAGCTTGCTGCTTCAGACACTGAGTTCATAGGAGCTTGCTCAATTGTTTTAGAGGGCCTTGTTCTCTTGGTGTTCTCTAGCCCCTTTCTCTCCCACTCCTCTGCCCTCTCTTCTGTTGAGTTCCCTGAGCTCTGAGGGGAGGGATTTGATGGGGAGACACCTCGTTTAGAGCTGTGTTGAACTTTTTTTTTTTTTTTTTTGCACAGTTTATGACAGAATAATCAATACTTGAGCAGTTGAAAGAAATCCTTGGCAAACAATACATAACAAAGATATCTGAAAGCTGTGGAAATGGTCTCTGCAAGCACTAGTAATTAGTAGGGGGTATTCTGCAATTTAAAAGAAGCACCATTGAAACTGCCTCAGGTCAGTTTTCCTGCATGGCATCCCAGGAGAACCAGGGGCTTTACTTCCAGAGCAAAGTGCCCAGATTTACTCCTGTTCTGAACACCCTTAGAGGATGTCAGAAGGCCCGAAGTTCCCTGATGAACATTTCAGTGATGAGCTACTAGCCTTAACAATGTAACAAATTAATTAATTTATTTATTTTTGAGGCATGGTCTTATTTTGCAGCCCAGGCTGGCCATGATCCTTCCATCACTGCCCCTGACTGTTGGGATTCCAAGTGTCTCAGTTGCTTTTCTATTCTGTGACAAATAAATGCCTTGACTAAAACAACTTACAAAAGAGCCAAACAGTTTTACCAACTGGGGACCAAGTATTCAAATATATGTACCCATGGGGGCCATTCTCATTCAGATCACCTGTCTAACAACTGGCTTTGCTTAGCCTAAACTAAAAACAGATTGATTAGAAAGTCGTCTCACTGGTAGCTGTGACAGTTTATAATGAGGGCTATTTTTTTTTTCTTTTTTTTTTTTGTCAGTAAAGCAATCTTCCAGTTTTTTTTTTTTCCTTTCCTTCTCAAGACATCACAAAAAAACCGACATGCTTATTCTAGGAATGCCTTTACCCCTCCTCATTTCTATTTAGTGTGATTGTACTGGTTTTAGGGTAAGTGAATAATTTATGATAGCTGATTAATGAGATAATGGCTGTATTCTGAGGGAACTCAGAGAGACGGAAGAGGCCGTAGGGATCTCTGCTTTTTGCAAAGTTTGTTTTAGTGTCAATCAATGTATCCCTGAGATACTCAGCACCAGGCAGAGTGAAAAGCTACGGTGAATGACACTGTAAGGAGCTCCGGCTTTTAGGAAGACATAGAACTGACATTTTACTGCAAGGTGTCCTGCAGTGTGACAGCGTTCCCGAAGAATGCCGCATGAGTCCTTCATCTTTCTGTGACGAGCTTAATGCACAGCCCCATGTGTGCAGCATAAAAGAACTCCATTTTTACCAGTATGGGTGATCCATTCATTTTCTTAGTCAGCTAATAGTAATTGAGCACCCACCACATCCCAGTGTTGCTTTGTGCATCAGGAAACCAAACAGCAAATCCTGCCTGCATGGAGCCCATGTAATTGTGGGAACAAAAGTGAGCAAGCAGGGGAAATACATGGATTGTCAGTTGGTGGTAGGTCTGGTGGAGAAGAAAAATGTAGGAAATGGGGAACGGAGAATGCAGCATGGGAGGGCACTGCCACTTTAAAGAACACGGTTAGAGAAGGCTCCTTGGGAGGGTAGTAGTTGAGCAAAACCCCTGAAGAGAAGATGGAGTGAGCCCTGCAGTAGTCAGGCCATGGGCTGGCAGCATGCCTGGCAGGCCTATCATACGGAGCCACATTGACTATTGAGAGAGTTGGAAATGAGGTCAGGGAGATAATGGGCTGTGGATGGGAGGAGCAGATCACATGGAACTTGGGAGCTTTTCAGAACTTTTGAGCAGGGGACCAACATGATTTGGTATTTATGTTTTAAGAGATCTCTCTGGGAACAGTACAAGAGAACCAGGGTTCAAGCAGGAAGGCATGGGTTGCAGGTTACAGTCCAGGTTCCAATGGTGGTTGACCAGACCCGGGATTAATGGTAGAAGCAGAGGAAGAGTTGGTGTTTGATGTGGTTCTGAGGATTTGCAGTCATACAGGATGGTGTGTGTCAGACAAAAAGACAAATGGGGGTGCAGATGAAGAAGGATGGAGACTGTTTTGAGGCCTGAGCCACTGTTAGGTTGAAAAGCCATTTGCTGAGAAAACAGGAAATGAGGAAGGACCTCAATGCATGTCACTCTGTTTCTTACTCCTTGTCCTGTACTCTCTTCCAACATTGTGGCACCTGACCTTTCCCTCACTCCCCTAACTGTGTAAAACGTGTAATTTTACTTATTCTGGATAGCTGCTGGGGAAAATGAAGTTCATTTAAAAATGGTGTGATGGTTTGTCTAAGACAAAAAAAAAACACAAAAACTTCTTTTTCCTCATATTTTATTCTAATTCAAGTTTATGGTTTGAGAGGTCACAGATGTCACAGTGGTACAGCACTTACATTGATTGCATTGTGGTTCATGACTGCTTCTTCTGCTTCTGCAAATTGTCCCATAGGCACATGTCACCATGTCACATGCAGATTTGACATTTACAAGGAGCTTCGAAAGGTCTTGCAAATTAGTTCTTAATGTGTCCACTCCTACACCGCAAGCTTACTCATACCCCTCACAGCCCATTTATGTCCCTTCTGCTTGTAGCTCCTTGACAAATGAACACTATCTGTTATATAGTCCATCTCCTGGTAAACAGAGAAATAGAAAAAGAGTTAACTGCATGGACTTTCTTCATTTTAGCAATGATAGAATTAAATTAAATGACCTATTAATGGAGTTATATGTGGTTTTCTAAATGTTCCTAATTATATATTTACTTTCCCTCTCATTTTTATATTAAGTGCATTTTTTGAAGGCATTTTATATGTTGAACATCAACTAAAAAGATAATATTTTTCAGTGTCCACCAAATCTCCATAAACAAGATGGCTATGCCTGCAATCAAAATCAGGTATGGGCCATAAGTGAGATCTCAGTGTAATTTAGAATGGATTAGTGTAATTTCTTTCCCTCCTTTTGATAAGTGTAATTTTAGAAGGGAGTTTGCTGAAGTAAATTGCAGTGGGGTGCTGGGTTACATCAGCTTTGTTTCATTCACAGTGTTGCATATGTTTAATCAGTGACAGATTGTCCAGATTAAAGGAAAGGAAAAAAGAACATAATGGTTGCTGAAGCTAGGCCTCTACTTTCCTGGGTTGTGACCATCCTTAAATAATTTTACCTCTTTATTTAGCAAAAACAATATCAATCTTTTATAAGACTTTTCTCAAGTCATTCACATATAAGAAAGGCTAAAAGTCAGTTTGGTATCATTTGCAGAATGCTACAATTTTTGTTCCCCGTAAAAATTTAAGCTTCCATAATTATTTTACATTTAAAGAGCTGTGCTGTTAAGTGTGCCCAGAGCTTCTAAATTTTTATGTGGTGGATCTTACACTTCTTTTAAAATGTTGATATTTCTTATTGGTCACTGTGAAAATATACGAGGATGGGTTCTTGAAGAGAACGTTCTGTAATTTACCAAAAGGGGACTTTATAAGTCAGGATTTGGGGGAAAATGGCCTTGGTGACCTGTGACTCACAACATATGTGCTCTTTCTCTCAGGGTCGCTGCTACAATGGGGAGTGCAAGACAAGGGACAACCAGTGTCAGTACATCTGGGGAACAAGTAGGTTGCATCTTCCTGCCTGATGGCCATACACAGTTTCTTCTCCATGTCTCCCCTCTTCCAGTCTGTGACAGAGATACACACAGCATGGAGTGACGTGAAAGAAAAAAAATTAAGACATATTACGAAAACTGTGCACAGGCCTGGATGTATAACTCAGTGGTAGAATGCAGGAAAGGCTTTGGGTTCAATTCTCAGTGTACCTCAAATAAGGATGATGGCGATAAATAAGGATAAAGACAAAAACTATGGAAGACAGATATCCAAGTGACATCCTGTCATGGTAACCAAAGTGTCCTTCATTGACCTTGGGTGTTATTTATGGGATGTTGCATCTACCTGTGACAACAGGGTCAAGTGTCATGGTCATAGTCACTGTCTGACCACTTACATAATTGCTTGGCTTACTTTGTACCTTGCTGGTTTTACCTTGGGAGAGGAGTAGACTTTTTTTTTTTCTTTTTCTTTTTGTCATTCACTGTCTCAGTTAAAGAGATGACATGCAGAAGTTTCCCTGGGTGCAGACAAGACCATGGTAACAAATCTCTGACACACTGCCTAAATGTTAATACACACATCTACTGCCTGGCATTACAGTGACTCACAACTTGTTCATAAGGGTCACATAGGAATTGCCCTACTTTGCTTTCTGATTAAAACAAAACAAAACAAAACAAAAAGCACTGAGAAAAACGACTTTGGGGAGGAAAAGATTTATTTGGCTTGTACTTTCATCACTGAGGGAAGTTGAGGCAGGATTCAAGGCCTCCTTCCTGGAGGAAGGAACAGAAGCAGAGACCATGGAAGAGTGCTGCTTACTTGCTTGCTCCTTAATACTGGTTCAGGCTGATTTCTTATACAACCCAGAACCACCTGGCCAGGGGTGACACTACCCATAGTGGGCTGGGCCCTCCCACATCAAGCATTGATGAAGAAAATGGCCCCACTCGAGACTTGCTCAGGGGCTAGTCTGATGGAGACAGTTTTTCAATTGAGCTTTCCTCTTTTGAGGTGACTGTAGTTGTGTCAAGTTGATAAAAACTAACAGGAAGGCTGAGAAAAGACACTCCCTAGCTGCCTGAGGCTGGGGCTTCTGATACAAAGGAAAATACACAAAAGAGGTCATGCAAGGGTTCCAGGGTTTGACAGGTGTCGTTCCCGTGAAAGATTTCCATTCAGTGCTTCTTTTAGGCAAAGATAAGAAGAACATAGTGTCTTCTTAAAATCTAAATATCGAACCTCAAGTGTTGATATAAAATCTCAGCAGAGTCAAGCATGGTGGTTCGTGCCTGTAATCCAGCATTTGGGAAGTTGAAACAGGAGGATTACCAGTAGTTAATGTCCAGCTTGGACTAAGTAATGAGTTCTAGGCTAGCTGGGTCAAAAGGGTGAGAATCTGTCTTAAAACAGACAAACAAAAAACAAAGAACCTAACAACCTCAGTGGACTGAGGCTTTTAAATTAATCCCTGAATATTAACATAAAACAAGATTAAGAAGGTTGGAGAGATGGCTCAGTGGTTAAGAGCACTAACTGCTCTTCCAGAAGTTTCAGGTTCCATTTCCATTTCCAACAACACGGTAGCTAACAATTGTCAGTAATTCCATTTCCAGGGGATCTGATGCCCTCTTCTGGCCTCATG